CCACAAATTTTCATATCCCATATTTTTATAATAGAAACGCGACCAACAATGTTTTGATACTTTCACAGTCATATTCTTGTATATGATTTAACTAAATCCTTGTTCGAATCCTGTCATCTACTACCTAACCATTTTTCTATTGTTTGGTGTCCCCTGGATTAGCGTTTTATCGGTTCATTTTTAATTCTTGAAAATTGGATTAATATTGTTCATTTTGTGAAATAATGTAGAATATGTCCGCTGTTGTTGTTGTTGTTGACTTTTTGATTCTATCCTCATTTTGTTCACATCAGCCTTTCTTTTGAGTTTATTTCCCTTACCGGAACAAAAACCACATTCGTTCTCAGCCTACCATGAACCCCACAATATTTCAAATGCTTTTGCGGATTCAGAATTAGGGATTATTTTTACAATGGAAACTGGAAAATTATGTTACTAGAATAAAACAGTGGATCTTTACTTCTAAAACCGTTGTCAGTCTCTGTGGAAATTCCCTCTTTATAGTTCGCATGTGTATCGCTATTTCAATAAAAACACCTAAATTCTCCCATGATGCTCAACAAGACGTATGACTTTGCAGACGACAGCGTGTTAAGTCACTCCAAACTGTACTCCAGATCGAATGATGGAGCATCGTAATCTGTGCGCATTGCCATATTTGGTCATGCAGAAATAACCATTTTCATCATGTGTGTATGTGTGCATGTGTTATAATCGTCATCAGCGTCGGCTGCTTCAACAGCACCGTTAGCAACGCCCACGGACTCGTTATGTGCGGTGGAACTGAAACGTGTGTTTCACACCGGCCTGGCTTTCGGACTTAGCTGTGCTCGAGGAACAGGGTGTTCTTCACATCTACCAACGATCCATCTATTGTTCGTTGTCTTCGTTGTCGTCGTTAAGAGTATCAGTGATAGAGCTGATGCTGTTCCGTTGAAACGCGGTGCGTGACCAGAACTGTTGAAGGATTTGTTTACTATTTTGTTGTGGAACGAACTGCGCAATGAGATCAAGCGAAAGCTGCACAATTTCAAATGAAGTCTTTTTGACATCGCATTTTGCCCAATCTATAGTTCTGTCTCTCTCTCTCGCGCGCGAAGAGTTGTGAAACAACGGAAGATTTCCGCAGTTCATATCGAACGAATCTTTTTCCAAGAGATGTACGTCATTTTTTCTAGAGTAAGATTTCTGTTTTCCAGTAATTCTTAAATTAAATTAATTTTAGCCTGTCTGAAAGTACACATGTCTTAAGGATGAACATTGGGTATTGGGAGTTGAATGTTGTGCAATTTTACAACGACACCTTTAGGATTTTTGGTACTAAGAGATCAGGTAACTTGAAAAAATCGCTTTAAGTAATCAATGCATCCAACTCTTTCTACGTTTCTTTCTTTTGGTATTCATATTTTTATCCATCCATCCATCCATCCAT